TTTTTTAAAAAAAATAATTTTATTTTAGTTTTTTTAATAAAGTAATACTTTATTTATTATTAAATTAAAGTATAATAAAATAATTAAATAATATAAAAAGTTAATTTAGATTATTTTTTATTTAATATAAAAAATTATAAAGATTAGTTAAAATTTAAAATAATTTTTATTAGAAATAATTATTAATTTTATATTAATATATTAATTATTTTGTGCTGAATCATAATTTATTATAAAATTTTAAAAAAAATTATAATAATTAAGATGAATTATATTAATAATTTATTATAATTTCAGCTTTAATATTTTATTATCTGTTAAAATTTATAAATTTTAATAAGTAATCTTAAAAATAATAATTATTTTATATTAAGTTATTATATAATTTATTATAAAAAATTATTTAAATTAAATATATTATAAATTTAGAGAGCTATAATTTTTCAAACTAATAATTATTTTGTAAATTATAATTATTATTATTTTTATTATTATTTTTATTATTATTATTATTATTATTATTATTATTATTATTATTATTATTATTATTATTATAATTTTAAACTAAATGATTAGACTTGTCTTTATTATATTATCATTTAAAAAAATTTGCTATAATATAATCTTATCGCTTTATATATAATAATCTATTCTAGGTTATATAATAAAAAGAAGACAAGTAATATAACGGAAAGCATCCATATTGCACTTAAAATATATAATGCATCTAGCTATCAAGAATCTCTAAGATTCAAAGGATCTGTCTAAAACCAACTAAACAGGATGTGAAACAATAATATTAATTTATATTAAATAATTTCTATTATTATTTTTATTATAATTATTGTGATTATTATTATTATAGTTATTCCGATTGTTATAAATTATTCAATATGTCTAATAACAATAATGAAAATTCAATCCAACAAATAATTTCTTCGTTAGCATCATTATTATAAGATATTAGTTCAATAAAGTTAACAAATACAGCAATGACTACTTTGAAAATCTCAATTATTTCACAAAAAACATTAATAACTCCATCTGAGAAAATGAGACAAACCTCGAGAAAAATTTATGGTTTATATATTGGGTTAGATTATCGATAAGTTTTATAGACATAAAGTAAAATGGATATGTACTATATAATAAGTAACCATTGTAATTTTTATTAATTAGATACTCTTTTAAGAACTTCATTCTTAATTACAGTAATATAAATCTTTTTTTTACTGTCCAAAGTATCTTTATCACAACTTATTTCTGAAATCGTTTTATCATTAAACAGATGATGGAATCAATCAATCGATTCCGAAATCTCCGTTATAACTGGACATACGACGTTCAGGAAGCACCATCAAATTCTGAGTTTCATAAGCTTCGTCACCATCTAACAGACTTGGATGTTTCATTACGGCCAGATGTCGAAGCACATCTTTTTTAGTGATTAAACCAAGAAGTTGTCCGTTTTTTGTGACCAGAACATAGCGAAGACCCTATTGTGGAACATAGATAATTGGATGGTTTAAAGATTCTTAAGTTATTTAAGAGAACAAGAAAAAAACATGTATACCATTTTTCTAAATAATTCTATGACTGTCTCCATAGGAAACTTATGTGATACTGTGATAGGAGTCTGCAGTTAAAATACAATAAAAGAGTTATTAATATTAAGACAGAAAAGGGCGAATCATATATAATAACATTTTGGATTTGAACCTGATCCATCCATGGTCTAAAATCGATAAATGCATTAGAATCTAATATCGGCAAGTTATTTGAAAAATAGCACGGACTCGACGAAGAAATGCCTTGCGTTGTCCTTGCTTTTTCTACAAAAGAAAACACGATTAATAAAATTAAGTATAGAATTCAAATCATTCCATACGTACCAATAGCATATCGCAATTCTGACCGTGAAATATATCCAATTAACAGCATATCTCTGGAATTTATTACAACAGGGAATCCCTTGTAATCAGTATCGGTTAATAATTCATCTAATCAAAATTTTTAATTCAGTGGTGCAAAACTATTGAATAAAGCTGAAAAAAAAGATAATTCGAGATGATGTTTTTACCTAAACTTGCTATTGTGTGTCCAGTAGAAGTGATTACTATTAAATCTTCAATTCGAGTCATAACTTGAGATGCTAAAGTATTGTAAATGTATTCCTCTTTACTGTCTAAGTATGGATATTCATTAAGTCGAATCCATGCATCATAAATTCCTTCTTTGTCAAATGCGTCGCCAACCCATTTACTTATCATAACTGTATAGAATGAATACATATTGAGAATTTTACTTATCGTAATCATAAAGAATAACTATAAAGTTTATTTACCAGCGATCATGATAGGCAACACATAAGTTAACGCGCCAGTTAATTCAAACATTATGACGACAAGTGAAACTACACAGGTGAATTTATTTATATTATTAAAATTGCAGGTTGAAAATTGAAAGTTAACTACTCTTACCTGTCATTCGTGTAACGCCGCCAAATGCTGATGCTGCTCCAATCATGGCATACATCCCAGGTGTAACACATGGAACATCGGGTTTACATGAAGCAAACATCCAAAATTTTGGATGTGTTCTTTTTTGGCAAAAATCTTTTAATTACTTTTAACTTATATCACATGAAAGATTATTTCAAATTAATTTACCTTTGCCAAGCTTGTACAGATAATCCAACAGCTCTACCAAAACATGCACCAATTGCCATTGACGGTAACCAAACACCCGCAGGAACTTTTAATCCAAAAGTAATGCCAGTCAAAAAAAATTTGAAAATAGCGGCAATTATAAGAGAAATAGCTGTCATAAAAAAATTATCATGACTATATATTCAATTAAAAAAGATAAATTTATTTGATATACTGTTTAAAAAATAAATAAGATAGTATTGGAAATTGTATCAAAATCATACTTGCAAAGGTTATGATAATCTCCTTCAACACATTCCCGAAATAAAGCCGCAACGAGTTCTGACGGATTTACCCTAAAAATAATAATAATTAATTACCAAACCCATAATAAGACGATAATAGCGAATTGTGGTCTTTATTGTGTACACAATTTATAATAATACCCCATGGGCACTTCCAATTATTATAACATCGATTGAATGATTACCAACCCTCAAAATTTCGGAATCATCAACAATTTTCTTTACCTCATAAAAATATTCAAATAACTGATAATCGACGTGAGAAGAGCTACAATAATCACTTCCTGTACACCAAAAAACCGAAGCCAAGTTTCTTTACGTATCGATGCAACTTTTAAGTTAAAGCGAATAAAGAAAGCACCATAAAGACCCTATTTTGTTAAAAGGATTAATTCTCTTGCAATATTTAATAAATCAGAATTTAATAAGGGAAATATTTGACTACATACACCCATTATACCCAGGAATGCAAAGAAAAGTAATTCAAAGGCATGCCATTCCCGATCATAAACCACTTGGAAGAGAACAAGTTTTCCAGTTCTGAAAGGATTCATATACTAGATTGCATTAAAACTAACAATTAACAATTATTTCAATTAGAATTAAACAATACTAAAATAAACCACACTATTATTACCTCGAGGGCTACTGCAGCAACCATAGCACAAAAAAAACTTCGCCACATTGTTCTGAACGGGAAATAATAGGATACTTCCTACAGAGTAAACTATTGATTATTATAAGTCTTTCATTGTGCTTGCGATTAAGGTGAAAATAATTACTTCTAAACTGAATAATACGCCTCCAATTGGGGCACCAAAAGCAACGGAAACGCCTGCTGATGCAGCTGCTGATAATATTTCGCGTTTTTTTGCTAGCATATGAAAGAAAACAATAATTACTCGATCAATCTTACGATGATGTATTAATATTGCATCTAATTGATTTTATGTCTACCTTCATTATATCTGAACTTTGGGAATATTCTCGGAATGATATTACCGCAACAACATGCTAAATGTATTAAAGGTCCCTCTTTTCCTAGACATAAATTGGATGCTACCACTAAGCTCTAGCAAGATAAAAATAGCTGATTAAGTTTATTCCTAAAATTGAACGGAGTATACATAGCAACTAAACTTACTATGCCAATGCTTTTTATTAATAAAGTCCACCATCCAAGAAATTTTCGAATAACAAATCCTCCAAGAATGGTTTTAACTTCAGGTATCCCACTACCAGCGGAGTACGGTGAATAAGTTTGTACAATATAAGCAGCCACAGATGCAAATAATGTCTAAATATGAATGCAAGGATTAATCTTGTAAAAAATAAAAATAATGAATACTATATGAACATACCGAGAATACAACGTAAAAGACATAATTAGTCCAAAATTCTGATAGTGATGATTTAGCTTGAAGTCCTTTATTCCAAGTAACCCATTCAGAGCATGCTTGATCGTCTATAAGAAAAGATAAAAATAAAAATTAGATTTTCTTAAAATTACAATAAATTCAAATTCAAATTATAAGTACCATCATAACCCCAACAACAAAATTTTCTGTTAAGATAAAAAGCCGAACTACAATATCCTTCTTTTAGATCACTTAACCATGCAGAGGTGATGTCTATCATTCCTGCCAAAATTCCAGAAGCCAGGCCTTTTAAAGACATAAAATTTAGTAATCAAAAAGTATCTTCGAGAAACTGAATCATTGGTATTTAGAACAAATAAACAAAAATATTACCAACAGCTAAAACTACGATCCATCCCTCCATTAAATCAAATATAATATTAATTTTACTCCGCCATCCTTCCTTCTGACGCAATTTCTTTTGACGTGCGCGTTCCTTGGCGAAATCATGAATCCAATCTTTTGAATAAATACTATTTTATGTCAGCTGCTTAAATTAGTATTCAAAAAAAAGAAAGAACAAATTTGAAACAAGCCTAAAAGAGATATTAATATCAGACAATTATTTCGGACCTATCGTTGTAAAATCATCGTACGCCACCCTAATGCCGGTTCCTTCCATTGTCCATTCTGTGACATCTTGAAATTCTTCATCATCATGTCGTCGTAAAGTACTAGACACGTGTCCAGTCGAATGTGTCTGTTTTTTTCTTACGGGTGGTGCTGATAACTTAAAAAATCGACTAGAAGAAGGTTCGGAATGTTTGCGTTTAAAAGTGAAATCATCATCTATATCAGCACTAATAAACAATTTCAATAAAAGATGTTAGTAGGAAATAAGATAATTCAAAATTAATTGACTTTATTAAAAAGAATGATCTTTATTATATAAAATAAAGGGAATAATGCTGAACATTTATTGGTTCTGCTAAACTCATGGAATAAGTAAAAGTCTCTTTTAAAGTGAAACTTACAGTTTAGACTTTAAAAGCTCTGCTGCTGTTTGTGTGAGCTGATCAAAAGTTTGTGCATTGTTCTCGAAGGCAAGGGAAGTTCTCCGAGATTCATCAGGAGAAATAAAATCTCTATTTATATCTACTCTCGAGGAACCAGCTCTAATATCTCTAGTAAGTGGTGTTTCACTATCTGACGTAGGCGTGGAAGTCAAAGAAGACAATTCCTGGTGCTCTTCCATTATGAAAATATGCAAATTGATGAGAAGTTCGAGTAGCTAGAACATTAATCAACCAATCAGAAGTGAGAATTAGGTTTATTGACTCAATACGAAACCAGGATCATACAAAGTATGATAGGAAACAATTTGAGCTGCATTATAAACAAAAGACCCATCGAAATAATTCGAAAACAGACTATCATATTGTGAAAAATTCGGTAGATTTTTTCAGCAAAACTTTGACACAGGATATTTCGGGAACCAGAATTTAATTCGAATGATTTTGATATTGTTCAATTCGTAGTAATGAGACAAATCGAATGACATTAAAATTATTCGAATCCGAAATATTCAAACAATTTTTTACAGATCTGCAAAGAATATTTTGCGTTCGGAATGGAATGCTAATTCCTGACGTCAGATGGTAATCACGATATCCGATCCCCGTGTACAATATCACATTGATCGGGATCTACGTGATGACTTAGTCCATAAAATACCTTCTGAGGTGCAGGAACTGGTAATTATGCCATATATAATACTTTTGAATGGGATTTGTATCTGAGATTGTAATTCATTTTCTGATAGAGTACTTCTGTTTTACAATGTAATGAATATTGCATTTCAATTCTTCTATAAAGCTTTGTTGACTTAATAGCTCTCGGGTATTTCTCCTCGTCGTTGTTGGAGAAAATTATAATTTTGCTGAAATATTCTAGGATTAGACATTACCGATGTTGTCTAACAGATCCAAAGTGCTATTATTAAGTTCCAAATTTCCGTGTTATCCAATTACTTGTGAGGTACAAATGACGACGTTACCACGAGTATCTTCATCACTCTCGTCATCTATATTATTTTTGTAAGTTGTCAATTCTGGTCTCTTGCCGATCCTCAAGGAAGTCATCGAGATCCTTTTCCAAGAGGGCCTCCTAAAGGTAGGCGGCATCCGCTCGTGCATGTGCTGGCCCTGGTCGCAACCTGGACGAATCAATGACGTATAGTTATAAAGAAGATTGTTTAAATTAGAATCATCGTCGCTTTTTGTTGTTTTCATCATTGTCAGAAAAGTTTAACCTACAGATGAAGAAGCATTGAACGAATTTCCATCTTATCTTCATTTCCATCGTCATCGTAAACACTGGTTTCATGTTCATCATCTTCGCTGTTATCATCCTCGTTATCGTCATTTTCTTTCAAGCCATAAAATATTACTTCACCAAAAATAACGAAAATTCAAATCACCTCCATGATCAGACTGAATTCTCAATTGACTTCACACTTGAGATTTCACAGGTCGCGATATAAAATTCAAACTTCTTCATCGCGCAGTGTGACAGTTTTGAAAATACAAAATTCCGTGAGCTTTCTGGAACTCCTGGTAGCTGTGGAAATAACAAAACCTAAAATTTATAATTCAAAACATACTGATTGGCATGGCCAGTAAATAAATTGAACCCGGAAGGAATTGAACCTTCGCCTCAGAAGAGACTAGCCATACGGGAACTTCTGATGAAAAAAAAAAAGCG